TTGCAGAAGACCTGGGTTCAATCCCCAGCACCCACATGGTGGCTAACAATAGTTAGTAGCTCCAGTTCCAGGGGATCCAATTCCCTCTTCTGGCCTCTGCAAGCACTGCATGACAACGGTATACTTACATACATGCCGGCAAAACACTCATATACACAAAATAAAAATAAGTTCTTTTAAAAAGTTAAAAAAGAAACAGGAAACTTAGAGATGGTATAAAGAGTGATACCAAATTCAAATTCTATTACAGGTCAGTAAACAATTTAATATCTCACCTAGACACAGAGCATGGCAAAGATTAAAGAAGGCAAGATGAGTGTGAAACACGAACCCAACCAAGAACACTGGCATGGAGAAGGGTAAGATGTGTTCAGAATTCAAAACCATAGCCTGGCTGACAGAAAAGACACTGTTTACATTGTTTCAAGAGCTCTCAGGTCAGTATCTTGAATCTGTTTCATTTAACTGAAGTAAAAATTGAATTGAAGAGAAGTTACTTATCCAAGAGTGTACAGTTCTATAATAGCAGAACAATTAGAACAAACGCATTTACTAAGCAATTCCTATATGAACGAACCTAGAATAAGTGTGAGAGAGAGGCATTTGTCTAAGATAGGAAAGTTACAATCTGTTCTATTGATAAGAGACAGTATATTCTCCATACACTGATTTAAAAAAAAAGGTTCTTTGATGAGGGGCAGGAGCTGCACTCATCTGTGGGTATATAGATATAGATATGCATTTAGGATACAGTTAGAAATTATATTGGTTTAGGAAAATGGAAATAGTAAGTTCTCTTATTGGGTCTATGACCTCTTTAGCCATGGGTGCTTTGCCATGTTTCAGTACCAGGTATGAATTCTATTGAGTGGGTAAGTCTAATTAGACAGCTCTTGGTTACCCTCAAGATAAAAGTCCCACTATTGCACTATTGAACCAGTAGATAGATCTTGCTGGACCAGTTGAATATATGTAATGATAATAATTAAAGAAGAGGTCATGGCATTAAGAGGGAATTGGTGGGGTATGGGAGGAGCTGGTGGGGGTAGAGAGAGGACAGAAATGGTATAAATACAATATTCATGTATTCTCTAAAAAAATTATTTGTGTCTGTGTGTATCTATGTTTGGGTATGTGCATGTGAGCGCAGGTGCACACAGAGCCCAGAGAGGGTGTCGGATCAGAGTCACAGGCAGTTGTAAGCTTCTTGATGTGGGTACTGAGAACTGATCTCTGGTCCTCTGGAAGAGCAGGAAGCCCTCTTAATCACTGAGCCATCTCTCCAGCACTCAAAACATTTTATTTTTAAAGAGACAGTATATGCAGACATTTTGTGTCTATGTATAATCTTCTGCATCATATGATACATTATATAGATAGCTAAATAGATAGATAGAAGATGATAGATAGATAGATAGATAGATAGATAGATAGATAGATAGATAGATGATAGATATCAAGCAATAGGGTAGGGAATTTGGGGGCAGAGGAATTACATAAACTTGTATATTAAAATGTCAGTAGCAATGTGGATCTGGAGAAAGGAGCTCAGAGTTAGGGAAACCAGTTAGGAAGGTACTCTAATGCTTCTGGCAATGTCAAATGGAAGGCCTTTCCTGCCCAATAGCTGTGGGGATTAATAAGCACCCATTAGCTAAATACCCACGTGGAAAGATATAAGTGTTACTGGTTCATTCTTTTCTATGTTAATACCAGACAAAGACTCAAGTATCTTCAGATACCTCATTTCTCCTCACCAGCTTTTCATTAAAGCATGAAATATACCTCCAGGAGCACCTGTCCCATAGCACTAGAGAGCCAAGGTCAGAGGAAAACTCACTCTGGCCCTGCAAGGTTTCAGCTGACCCACACGTCAGAAAGATATTGTGTGAACTGAAGCATATGAGTTGAAAGTCAGTCATCTACCAACTCCCAGCTGGCAGAAATGAGCCCCGTTAGCATCCAAAGGGCAATTGAGAGTGAACTTGGAATGAGGGGTTGGTTTTTATTCTTACAAATAAACAGAGGTGACCCCTTTGTACCTTAACTTCCATGGTTATGTTAACATTCTGGATTTTAAATGAAAAAGTGTTCAAGTAGCAGGGAAGACTAGATGATTACGGGTCATAAGTATGTCTGAGTTAGATTTGAAAACCGCAGTCAACCATAATAAGCTATAAAAACGCAAAGAATGTGCGGTTAGACCTATAGTTTGGCCCTCAGCCCTGTTGTTTGTTATTATATGATCACTCTGAAACTCATTTTCCCTCATTGAAAACACAAGCCTAATTAAACGAACCTCATTCGCTTGTGCAAAAAATAAAAATGGCAGTGTTTATGAAAGTGTTTGCCATAGGATGGGAATTATAGACAAGTGGAAAATGCAGCAACAGAAAAACAGGTAGGGTCAAATTGTGCCTTGGGGTCATTGACTCTGGAGTTGGAACCATTTATCAGGGCTGCAAGTCAGACTACAAGGATGATACTTACTAGCTTTCTTCATCTATAAGTTGTGAGTTAAAATAAAGCCTCAGAGAGAGAAAAATATGTACATATGCAGAGAGAGAGAGAGAGATCAACCTAGGAGTACACAGAGAGCGAGAGAGAGGGAGAGAGAGAGCAACTTATGAGTATACAGACAGAGACAGAGATAGAAAGCAAGCGAGCAAGCGAGAGAGAGAGATCAACTATGAGTACATGTACACACAGACGTACCCTCTCCAAATTGAAGAAATATCCTTCTCTAGAGGAGATTTGCCATCAAGCTTGTCTTTGGTTTGTTCAACCAGAGAAACTCATTGTTGACTCATGATTATACTTGTAGCCACACAGACATTTCAATAGCTATTGCTACATAGTTCTCAAACACTGTAATTGATTTCTGACTCCTGACTTTGGGACTTTGCATATACTCTCATGGATCTTTAGCAATGAATGGTTAGCTTATGGTTAATAAGAGACTCTTCCCCTAGCTTGATGGAAGTGTGCATTTAAGAAACAAAAAAAGAGGCCTTATGATAGTGCTCATTAATGAATGTGTATTAGAATAAATTTATATCCATTATGTAAGTTTTCTAAAATTTCTGCAGGAAACGTTTTAAACCTACTACATTTTCATTTGGAGTCCTGTGCTCTTTAGGCTGCTGTGAATTCACAGCAGTCAGATTTCTGACTTCATTCCCATTTACAGTTTGTCAATTAACCTCTCTTCTCGGTGTATTTGTCAGGATTTCCAAATACACTTTGTGGAAGCTTCTAGGCATTTTCATTTCTTCACATCATTCCTTTTTCTTGGTAGCTTCTGCCAACAAACTGACCTGGCAAACTCCTACACACCTTCCAAGACCATCCAAGGACCCTTCAAAACTTTCCCTGAGAGGGCTGTTCCCTGTCTTCTCAGCATTTCCACCCAGCCATATGCCTGAGAATCACTTGACTGCAAATAACTGACAAGTCCCGGTTACAGAAGGGAGGCAGATAAAATGCACTGCCTCACAAAACTTGGGAAGTTTTAAAACCATATATAGGCCAGGAAGACAACTTAATTCACAATGACCCAGGTCCTGCCTCCAAGACGTCCTCCTCGTGACTTATTTTTCCTTATGTTAGCTTTCCCCTCTTTTACCTTAAAGTGACATTCTTCATAACCAGACAAACCGCAGCCCCTGGTAGTGTTCAAGCTTTAGCTCTTTTACCATCTGCCACCAGGGAGGGAGGATGACCCTTTGTCTCAGAACACTTTGAAAACTCTCAAAGCACACAATGATTTGATTACCACTGAACTCATCCATCCTGTGGCCCAGGGAAAAATACTATGATTAACTTGTCCAAGGTGTAACCCATCATCATTGGACCTTGCTTCTGTGAGTGAGGAATCAGAATTACCTAAACACATGACAGCTTCTATTGAAAGTATCTACATGTCAGGACATGTGCAGATGCAGTTTTCAGGGGAAGGAGCCAGAGAATGCTGTAAAAATCCTAGAGATACTCAATTTTACGGGTTTATTTCTGCATATTTCATAGCTAAACTTTGAAATCCCAATGATTATAACTCTTAAGACAGTTACCCTGCCTTGTTTTTCAAGGACATAGAAATGTATTGGGTTTTTTTTAGACTGCTTTGTGCCTTGTTGAGATATCATCAGGGCAAGATCCTCAGGAAAAGGCAAGGCAAGAGCTGAGCGAATGGTCTTGTTATTCAGCCATGTAGAAAGGGGACATTGATAGATGGCCTTCCAGTCATAGGTTTCCATGTTGTAAGATGAATGAACAAAACTGATAAACTCGTGCAGGAAATGGTGGGTGTGTTGTAGGAGATAAGGCTCCAGTAGGCAAATGAAGGACTCGCTGTCCAAGTTAAATTCTGTCGTGTGATGGAGGATGGCTGCGAGAATATTTTTCACTGTGTAGCCATAATCTCCATAGACAGCTGCTAACTCCCGTTTCAAGCAGGGAACCAGTGGGAACAAGCTACTAGGATTCCTTTTGAAATAATTAGCTGAAAAGTTCTTTTCAAGTTTGTGACCCTGGACATGTACCCAGATTCCAAAATGGTACAGAGCTCTTCTGAACTTCATGACCACGTGATCTCGATAATGGCCCAAGGACATAGAGTTTGGTTGGAACTTCTCACTGACTCCAAACTCCCTCAACAATTCTTGGATCGTTGGCTCTCTCAATGGTTTGATTTTCTTTTTGATTTTCTCTGGCATCTGGCTGAGATTGTGTTTAAGAGAGAACCCCACTGAAATTTCCTCTTCTGAGGGGAGAAAAATAGTCTTCCTCGGCACGATTCTCCAGTCTCTTAGAACAACATTGAGAAAGAAAGCGTTGCAAAATGGGAGAAAACTTTGATTCCCTCTTTGATCTTGAATCCAAAGAGTCATCGTTTTTCTTTCTGGAAGAAGCGTCCCGGTCAGACTCACTCTGCTTACCTTCTAAACAGTCAGGACACTCACAGTAAGATGAAAGATCTACCTGCATTGCCCTCAGCAGGTTATTTTTCATAAACTGAATGTGGGAAAAAGTGTTTCAAATCAATTTCTCATCTGTCATGAAAAATATCTATTAAAAGTACTCCATACATATTTTCATAATATATTCTATCTCCATGGAATTAATGCTGGAATAAAGATGAGAGACAAATTATTTGTCAAATCGGTAATAATGTGAAATGAAATCCAGTAAAGATAAGGTAGTGAAGACATGGGCACACTGATTTTTCTCCTTCTCAAAGTCTTTTTTTCAAATTCTTCAAACAAATAAAAAATAAACATTAAAAAAGTATCGTATCCTTTGACCTAGCCATTCTAACTCTGTAGATTTAATATAGATATGCAAATAACCAGAATATAGTATATATATATATTATGGTATTAATGAAAAAATGAAAATAACCTAAACACCCAATGGGAAAGGGTGTGTTGAATAAATAATGTTTTACTTGTTGTACTTAATATCAGGCATCCATTCAAAACAAGTGAAAAAACTTATATGTGCCAGTATAAGAAGACAGCTGGGCATACTGTTAAATAAAATGTAAAAGTACAGAGAGCTACTATAAACTCTCCTAGAGAGCCAGGCAGAGCCAGGCACTGGTAATCCCAGCACTAGGGAAAGTGAGGTAGGAAAATCTCAAGTTCAAGGCCGGCGGTTCATTCCACAGTGAGACCCTGTGTCAAAAAAATGGAACACAAACCAAAAAAAGCCTTAGAAACCAATAATTCACTTCTTATGATATTAGATGCAACTAAATAAAATAAGTTTGTATTAGGAATAACAAAATACAGCTGTAATGCATACACCTATAATACGCATGACAAAATTCTCAGAAGTGAAGCGATTAAGGACACACAGTAATCCAGAGAGGGAGGTGAATCCCTCAACTGCTCATTGCCCGCAGCTGGTATTCTTGAGCCTCAGTTCTGAAAGAACTGTCAGCTGCAAATGACAGGGGTCAAAGAAGACATGCTGTTCAATGTGGAATATTGACTAGGAAATGCCTGTATCCAAATGCTGTTATCCTCACCCCCCCAAAATTAATTTAATTTAAAGAAAGATTACTTCAAGACGGATCAGCAAGAAAGCAGAGACTCTTTAGTGATACAAGTCAGTATGTCTGTAGATTAAATTCAAAGAATGCATTTCTGAAAATCTCAATAAAATCATTTGTTTTGAATCTTACAGTGACTTCACATAATAGGCAACATGGCAAGTAAGTCCACGGTGGAATAACACAACAAAAACCCAGGTCTGGTGACAAATATCCCACAAATAAATTCACAATTAAAAACCAGTAACAAGCCAGGCCTGATAGCACCATAATTATAGGCACTTGGAGGGCTGAGGCAAGAGGATCACAAATTTAAGGCCTAGCTGGACAAAGAATGAGTTCAAGGCTAAGCTGGGCAATTTAGTTGAGACTCTAACTCAAGATTAAAAGTATAAAAAGGTATCGGGCGTTCGATGGTAGCACTTTACTTACCTAGCGTGTGTGAGACTCTCCCTAGTTTCAGCCCCTCAGTGCTACAAAGAGCAAATAGGTGATCAGACTACCAAGAACAAAGCCGAACAAGAAATAGGATATTATAAGAGTAAGTTCACAGGAAAAAAAAAATAGATAACAAATCTGACTCCTAAGAGAATCAGAAAAGGAGTAAACTAGATGCACTAACAAAGATGAAAGTATTTTGAAAGTGTTACTCAAAAGATAAAATATAACCAAACAAGATCTCTAGAAACAAAAATTATAACTGTCAAAATTTTAAATGGAAAAGTGGACAGAATAAACAAGACTGCAGAGAGCTATTAGCACGTTGCAGTAGAGAATGGGACAAATTACAGACTGCATCAGAGAGGCACAAAAGTCAGAAATGGGAACATGAAGAGAAAAAGAACCAGGTAAAAAGGTTCAAGATTCTTAGAAACAATAGAATTAAGGAGAGGCAATATTGGAAGAGATAGCATCTAAGATCTTTCCAGAATGCATGAAGCATGTTAGTCATCAGTCTTGGAATTATAATGAAGTCCAACTATGATAAATAAAAAAAAAACTCACAACAAAATAAATCAAAGTGAAACTGCAGTACACCAAAGTTAGAGAGGCATTTCAGTTGTTATTATGGAGCCACGAAAAAGATGAATACATCTTCAAAGAACTGTTTAAGGCAAATGCCATTTTAGCATTACATGTTCATAAAAAGTGGCTTTCAGGAGTCAGATCAAAATTTGATAGAATTTGAGAAAAGGCATTTGAGAGACCCAAAACTCCCTAAAGTTAAACACCGATCAACTTCTCAAAAGAATGTATAAGAATGTAGTTTTGGAGGAAGATGACTCCAGAAAAATTTCTGGAGTTGGAAGACAAAATGAGCAAAAAATGATAGATAGAGATCCATCTAAGCAAGTAGCACACAGGTGTGTAGAACATTGCAACCGTCATATGGGGGTTAAGATGAAAACAACTCTAATGCAGGAAAAAACAAAAACAAACAAAAAACCAATAGCTTAAAAGCTGGAAGGGTAATTGAACTCAAAACAGTCTCAAGTTCTTGTTTGGAAAAAGAAATATTTATTTATAAACAATTTAAATACATCGATAAAATGTCAATACTTCTTTTGAAATACTAGAAATGAGTTGCTTGCAGGCTTACAAAAGGGAGACAAGATAAAGTTAAGGAAGAAACATTAATGAAATCTATCATAAAATAAATTTGAAGTATTCAAGAAAATAAAATAAAATTTTATTATGTATTTTTAATAAAAAGTAGTATAAAATATAGGCATTATTATGGAGCAAAGCTATTTGTAATGAAAGAAATAGACATGAAAACCTGGAATAAAAGATAGCATTTACTACTAGTTGTTAGAGACTAGGAATAATAGGAAGAAATTCTACTTCTTAAATGCTTAGAATCCTAAGATGGAAAATTTTCAGATATCATGTTACTGAGTGGTTGACAAGACTTTTGGTGAGAAATAATTCTTGTAATAAAAGTATACACACAAGTGCAACATGTTAAACATGATCTGGCCCTGTCTCAGCCTTCTGTCCTCCTTGGCACTGCCTGCCACACAGCACTGCGGCTATCAGATGAGGCTCCACTGGATCCACCATTGCAGAACCATTTAGGTTGACAGAGCTCATGTCTCCTCCATGCCTAGCTACCACACGACACCCTATGTAATCCCTTGGCAGACAGTTACCTTTGACGAATGCGTCTTCAAAGAACTAATTAAAGCAATCTGGCATGCTGTCACTATCAGTGAAAATGAATTTCAGGAATTAGGTCAACATTTGATGAAATTTGAGAGTTTTTTCTCATAGAATTTTGTATTCTAGACACTCATTTCACCTTACTGCTCACTTACTGCTGGGTCTTCCATCATCTCGAAAGAGAAAATGATAGCTACAATGTTGTTTAGTAAATGTACCTACCCGGGATTCTGGAGGAGCCCACATTCATTTGAGCCTTAGCTGCTGACTTCATTTGTTTACAGTGAACAACCTCTGTTTTGTTTGCCTTAGAGATAGAATTTAGAGCTCAGGGCAAGTTCTATTACAGTTAAAGAGAAAGTACCATGAAGCTCACCGTCTTTCACCTCTCTTAACATCTCAAGCGATGTCTAGATGGGTGAATAAAACAGAATTCAGATCCGTGATTTAGAGGAGACCAAAATTCTTTCATTGTCTAACAAACCAATCAGAGCCAACATGCTATGAAGCTTTTCTTAACGAATGACTCCCCCCCCAATATTAATATTTGGAACTAAATTATTTAATCACAAAATTTCTGCTTTCTCTTTAAACAAATGATATGAGCAAACCATTTATATGTATGCAAGGTAGGCTGAGAACTAACCTTTTAGACCCAAAAGGATATTTTAAAATACTTTGTAACATTTTACAGGTTTTCTGCTCATTCATGGCTAAATAACAGTTAGTACAATGCAAGTGGGAGATTATTTTTTTGTGTGCTGCTATGTTTCTTTAAATACACGTGTGCTTATTCCGACCTAGGGTAAAACCAACCTCTCAGACCTAGAATGAAACCAACTAAGATCACAGGATAGAATACCTGGGGGAATTAGATAAGCTACTTTGTGAATGTGTTTGGTTCCTAATAGCCATTTAATATAACAGGCACTTTGGTTTTACTTAAAGTTGGTTTATGAGCCATATCCAACATAGTACATCAAATTCAAATTATTTTATTTTCTTTTGTTTTGCTTTTGTTTTTTGAAGCAAGGTTTTCCTATAGCTGCAGCTGGCCTGAAAATGGCTATGTAGACCAGGCTAGCCTCAATTTCCCAGAGATCCATCTGCCTTCTGCGTGCTGGGATTAAAAGTGTGTGTGCCACTATACCCAGCCTTAAAGAAATTATTTTATTTTATTTGTGTGTGTGTGTGTGTGTGTGTGTTCTCATGTGCTGCATTTAGGCCTGTGGCCTGTGTGTAGAGGTCAGAGGATAACTTTCTGGAGAGGTTGGTTGTATCCTTCAACCTGTTGAGGCAGTGGCTCTTCTTTCATATTTGCATGATGCGTAATATTCCAGGCCAGCTGGTCCCTGAGCTCTGAGATGGTTCTCAGATCTCCTCCCATTTTGCCATAGGAGTGTTGAAATTACAGATTCTTGCCACCACACAGCTGCCTTTTTTAATGTGGGTTCCAGGGATTGAGCTCAGATAGTCAGGCTTGCACTGCAAATACCTTTACCTACTGGGCCATCTCACTACCCCCACCATTTTATAAATATTCTTTGTGTGATTTTGTAGCCCCACATAGACACCAGTTCTGATACCTTGCAACTCTTTGGTAGTACTGAGATACCTATTAACTTAGCCTTCTCGTGTACACCAGTACTATATAGAAGAAGAAAGAACAGAAATAGTGCAAGTTCTTACAGTGCAATTGCCTTACTTCCTGAGCCTCATCTGTGAAATGAAGGTTACGGTACGGTTCAAATGAGATAGTAGATGGTAA